TCTGGGGACAAGTTCTGGGGACAAGACAAGACTGAGGTCTACCCTAACACAAAGAACAAGGGTCTTTAGAGGTCTTTCTCTCCGTACCCTTTGGAGGACTGCATATGTGGTATAATTTGCTACCTCAAGCATTTAAAACCTATGGCTGTTACAAGTGCTCTGCCTTGAAATATCACATAAGTAAGTTTGTAACTCCTGTCACCTGTATTTTCAAGATGTTTATGTCAGGCAGGATAAAAGCCACTGTATTCCAAACAGTGTATCAGGTTAATATATATATAAGCAAAGCTGTGGAAGAACCGATCTACTTCAAATAGAGGCGAAAATATATTTTCTAATTTTGAAAAGAGAATTAAAAAAAAAAAAAAAATCTGCCATTAAAAAGGAGAGGATGACATTTTGGAACTCTGATCCAGTATTATGACCATGAATTAGTTGTCACTGCTATGTTTAGAATGCTATCTTTCATTTTTATACTTTTTGATCCATAAAGTCAATAGAAGATGTCCCAGAATTCTTCCAGCAGAAGTTTCCAATACAATTGTGATACAATTGACTGAAAGCCCCAGAAGAATTGAACTCTTCACATTCACGCAAACCCCTAGGATGACTTTGGAGAGGTCAAATCTCTGCTGTTTCCTGGGCCTTTTGTTTCACATGGTAATGTTCACACTGGTACCTGGCATGAAAATAATCTGAATTAAATTGAAGCCTGTGCCTTTCAAAGCTAAAACCCACAATGTTTGCTTGTTAGACTGGCTAATTTTTATTAAGTATGGCATTTCAAATTGCACTTAGGGTCAAAGACAAATGGCTTTTTTTTCTTCTTCTGATTTAATCAGTATGAAAGAACTGAGGAATCTCTAACTTCTCAACATGAACAGTGATCAGTGTTTTGGGCACCTATGTCAAACTCTAACAAAATTGTTGTCTTTTCTTAGCTCAGTTACACTGCACATTTTGATTTAAACTACTCACGTACTCAGGCAATAAGTGTAATGGTAAACTCTCAGCTTCTATTTGAATAAAACAAAATACAAAAATACTGTTACTTGTTTGAAAAATAATCTTGTCTCAGATGTAGTATTTTTCAACAAAATAATTTAAAGCAATTTTCCTGCAGCATGCATTTACTTTTGCTGATTCTATTTAACCTAAACTTGTATAATTTTAAACTCTGGTCAATTATACAGCAAATGACAAGTATAAAGAAAAAAAATTGGTCTTATCTATGTATCTAAATTAATTACAGTTGTACAACATATAATCAGAACAGCGGGTCTCAATGTGAATCTGAAACCACTGAACAAAAGGAATCTTAAGCTTCAAATTTAATAAAGCAAATGCCAATCTGACAGGCTGTCTAAAACAAATGTGGCATTCACTCTGTAGTTTCAAAACACAGCTGCAAACACAGTGGCTAAGTCAGTGGTTACAAAAAAGTCTCTCATTGTATAAGTATTATAGATATTACTATGAATGTATATCTGAATATGGGGAATTCAAAATTAATCAGAACAAATATGTTCATTTAATTTGATACACAACAAAAATCTCCACAAAATCCTTCAATTAGATTGGCTATATACCACAACTTTTCTTTCCCCAAACTAAAAACTTCCCTAGGGATGTAATACCTGCCTCAGTCTTATACTGATATATTCAGTATCTCAGCAACTAGAATCACATTTACCTATTCAGTAAGTTCATCTAAGAAACCTAATTCAACTCCCCTGTAAGGCATCTTATTTGGGAAGGTTTCTATTAAGAAGCCTTTGAGCTCTGATGCTGTGCATTATTTAAGCCTGAATTTAATAGTCAAAGTGCCTGTAGTTAAACACAGCCTTATATGCAATACCAAATTTTGCCCAAACAAAACCAAAACCAAATAAAAAGAAAACAAAACCAAAACAATATCCATCTTACATTAAATGGATCCTCACAGGATGAGAATTATCATGAGCTGTAATAGCACTTTTGATTCAAGCCACATACAAGTATTCTAACCTTCAAGTTACGGAAGCAATTTTAAAATATCAAGAGATATGTCAAGTTCTTAATACCCAAGTTTACATATTTAATGGTCAACAGCCAAAATACCCAAGAGAAGAGAGTTATATTAGTTCTATTATTATATTAATTCCAGCTCGAACCCAAATTAACATGTCTTGGAAAATAATGTTTCTTTCTCTTAAACTAGGGAATAGTGCTTGGTTGGCCTGTATTTTAACTATTTTCTTGGACACCTACTACACTGTTCATTTTAGCTTTACTTTCAAAGCAGTCAAGCACAGGAGATCTCTGCAAGACTATCATGTTACGCCATTGATCCTCACAAGAAGACTCAATTTGCTCAGTAATAAGCAACCTGGGTCAAAGGCCACGACTGAGAAAAGACAAAGGGCATTGTTTATGCCCGTGTCAATCAGAAACAGCTCTACTGAAGTCCATTGAGTTATATTTGACTCAAATCCATATGAAAAACTTCTGTGTTTGCTGAATCTGGATTATGTGGCAGCCAGGAATTCACATTTATTAGTCTGTAGCAGGAAGCATTACAGACTGCTGCATTAAAATACTAGTTTGTTATACTGTCTTTTTAACCAAAACTGGGTTTTATTCTCTTATTGGCAATTCAAATTCACGTCACTGCTTCAGCCTGTTCACTTGCACTGCATTACCCATTGTGCATCACAGTACCAAGTAACAGATTTTGTAATTTTGTATAAGAGAATTCATCTGAGGCAAGGAAACAATAATTAGTGTCCTACATTTTAAAGGAAAAAGAACCAAAACTCCACCTCTTCCAACTATCTCTAATTACACGCAAACTTCTGGATATGCAAGATTTTGTATTTCTTGACTTTTGATGCTCACAGAACACTTCTAACAGTCCAAAAACATTAAAAGCCTATTTCTGACTACACAGTCACAAGATGATTTATAAAAAAGACTTGGGAATTTTAATTTAGCTTGTTCAGGGATCTGGTTGGAAGCATTGCATAGAATACAAACCCAGAGAGATGTGTCCAGGAGAGCTGGCTTACTTTCAAGGACCACATCCTCCAAACTCAAGAAAGGTCCTTCTTGACAAGCATGAAACCAAGCAAAGATGGCACAGTTGGACTTAGGAAAGCCAAGGCCCTTCTGAAATGAAATTTGATGAAGGACACGAAGGTCAAGAACAAAGGGATTCTACAGGTATATTAGCAGAAACAGGAAAGCTACAGAAAATGTCTGCCTGCTGCTAAATGGGCTATGGGACCTGTGGCAAAGAATACAGAAAACATCAAGGAATTCAGTGTCCACTTACCTCAGTCTCTTAATGGCAGGATTTGCCTTCAGGAATCCCAGGCCTCTGAAACCATAAAGTCTGCAGTCTGCAGCAAGAAAGACTTTAGGAAGATCAGGGTGGGAACACTTAAAGAAGTCAGACCTACACAATCAGTGGGACCTGATGGGGTGCACCATAAATGTGGAGTGAACTGGCTGATGTCTTATTTATCTTGACTTTAGCAAGGCTTCTGGCCCTGCAACTTCCTCACAGGCAAACTGGTGAACCCTGGATGGGATAAACTGGCAGTGGGGTATACCGAGAACTGGCTGCACTCGAAGCTCAAAGGGGATATCATCAGAAGCACAAAATGCATCTTGACAGTCACTAGTGGTGCTCCCCTGTGGTTGGTACTGGGATCAATACTATTTAACACCTTCATAAATGACCCAGAGGGTGGGACAGAATGACCCTCAGGAATTTTGCAGCTGATACAAGACTGGGAGAAGCTGTTGATACACCAGATGGTTGTGCTGCCATTCATAGGGACGTTGACAGGCTGAGAAATGGACATCTGTACTGCTTTGGTTCAGATGTGGCATGAAAACATAATGCTCCATTTCCCAAATGGGAATCTACTGAACTGGCACTGGACAGATCATTTCATCTGAAGAATTTATGTCTGACATTGTTTAATTCAGAATAAATGTAAGAATGCAAACAATTTCATTCATTTATCTCTTACTTCCAGTTCAGATTTAGCTGAAATACAACAGAGAAAGCAACACAGAGAGGACTTCTTGCTGGTTTGTAAATTTTAGTAGACATGGAAAATGTAAGACAATTTATCTGAATGATGTGATCTACCAGAGACCAGTAAATGCAATTTCAGAAGCTACCTTTCATGACAGCCATTCAGCAGCAGCAGAAAGCTTGTAGTCATAAATTATGTTTAAAACACATTCTATTGTCCAAAGTGACAAATCTTAGTCTTTCAAATTAATACAACCCTAAAATAGTATTTTCTTCCACCACAAAACTTAGAAAAAATTTTAGGGCTCTTCTGAATCAAACTATTCACACTCATTGATGAGCATCCTGACGTACTGCCATTATGAGGCTTAAATATTTATCCTACCACAAACATGTACTCTTACATATCAATGAGACAAAATAAGAAGCACTGACAAAATGGAGATCAATGACTTTGACCATTAGTCTATATAGATCTTCTTCCAAAAACTATTCATTTGAATTTATCTTACAATTAAATGAATAATCCTCTGGTTTACAATTAAATCAATAATCCTTATTGATTATAAACACAACCTGAGATGGCCCCCATAGGTCAGGATGACTAATGTGATGATATAAAAGTCAGAGAAAGGATTCATGCCCTCAGCAGTATCAACAATTCCCCTTGGCCATGATGACAAACAAGTACTAATATATGTCAGAAAAACACAAGATTTTTTAAGAGATGTGAAGTTATACTGTTGTAGCACACAAGTGAAAAAAGTGCTTTTAGGACACATTAAGGTGAACCTACTATATGACCCAAAACTTTAAATGAGGTATTTCTCAACCTGTTTGTCACTAAATATAGGGAGTCCCAAAGTTTACTGTACCAAATTTTTTATTATTTCAAACAAACTTCTGTACAAAAACATCAAAGCAGGTCAAGAAATCCCATGACTTCAGAAACAGCACATGACAACTCACAGAATGCTTTAAGGTTTACATTTTTATTATACAAGTGACAAATAGTTTTTCTTTGCAGTATTTAAAGATAAGATTTCATTGTTTGACAAAAAATTGCAGGTAAGCATATGTTAACTTCAGTTACCAAAGCCCAACAGAATGGCCTGTCATCCACCTAATTTACTTAACTGGAAGTGACTATGAACAAAGCAGGATTTTCCCTAACGTACATTTTTAAATGTCCCCCCATAAAAAATGGAGCCTGTAAACAGTGGATTTACTACTGTGAAAAAAGTGTGGTCATTGCTTTCAGAAAAAGAAGATCTAATATAAGTGAGTTCTCTCTCCCTAACAACAACATCGCAACTGGCTGCTGCACCTGCAGGGGTGTGACATGAATGCTGGAGATGTGGAGCTGTCCAGTATCAGGACACGCATGACATTGGCACCTGTGGGTTCTGATCAGGTCTAACAAACCTCACAGGGGTTGCTCTGCTCAGAAATAAGCTCTTAAATTAATCCCTACTCCAGAGAACTTGTGACATTAATACTGTTAAAGGACTGAGTTCAATGACGCAGTTTGCCACAGTGCAGCCAAGTTCCAACAGACCAAATCCATTTTCAAAGTCTTAAGGTAAAGTTTTTAGAAGAGATGTGCATGAAAATTCCAGTGAAAGCACACAAACCCTGATTATCCATATGCAGATAAGCAAATACAAATCTGAATCTGTGCACAAGCACTGGAGTTTCCACACATACATGCAAGCGAAGTACACAAAATCAAACACATTTTCAGAACGTGACCTCTGCAAGAATATGTACAGCAGACCACCCAGTAGACACACATAACAGAGCATGAGCACTTTGCTGCTTTTGGCAAAGTATTTCTATTCCATTAACTGGAAAATTTACCAGAAAATAAGAACAAACAAGTCAGCAAGGAACTTAACTTCTTGAAATATCAATCACATCTCAAAAGCCAGTGAAGAGCAGTCAGCTGATAAATATTTCTGTGTTGACTCTGACTCATCTAATGAATAACACTACTAGGAATTTAATGGAGTTCCTAAGAACAGATCAGCTCTTCATTTTAAACCATCCCTAGGTCTGATGCAGCCGATTTGACACCAGGGAAGTTTGCTACAGAAGAGTGTACTAGTTTAGATCAGCCAAAAAATTACTGGCTAGAGCTGTCTGGTAGTTAAAGTTCACTGTGAAATATTTACACTGACAAACCTTTTCCAGTTAAGTCAAGGCATTAGTATTTTTTTTTTCCTTTCTAAATCTAATAAAATTATACAGAGTTTTCAAAATCTATCAATGCTCTTTAACCATATTTTCTGTTTATGTATACTGCATCTGAGAAAGGATATTAATTTCCTCAGCTGTTGAAAGGTAGGGCTTATACTTAATTAAAAAGGTAAAATTACCTGTTTGAAATACATTTTTGGATGTATTTCAGACAACACATAATTCATAAAAGTAGGTGGATCCCCACTTATTACAGGAAAGACAATGCATTTTATGAGTGATGAACATTCAGGTATTCTCCTATTCATACTAGTTTGACAAGATCCTAAAACTGACCAAAAAACTGTGCACATGTTTTTCAAAACATACCAAATTAATTTTGCTTTCTCTTATATTAACTTTCTTCTTCTTTAAAGTTCCTTTTCTGTGATACCTTTGACATTTCAGTTTGATTTCCATTTTGTCTTCACTACTACTTCTCTGATAGAGAAGGTGTTTAAGGATTAAAATGCACAGATAAACTGTCTTAACTGAAGTATCTAAGTAAAAAAGTATTTTAAAAGTCAAAGATAAAGGCTGGAATAAAAACTTAGGTTGCACTATATAGTCAGTCAGGTTATGAACAGATTCCTATATTTTAGCAATGTGAAGAAAATGGTTATGCAAATACACACAAGTATTAACATCAAACTGTATTAAATTATGTAAACATACACATCTGTGATCAATACAAACATCTACTTGTCTGTGGACACTACTGCAGCATAGCTCGAATTTGTTTTGAAGTAGATTCATCATTCAGGTGTTTTGTAGTGAACCTAGAAATTACAAGTTAAAACAATAATTTATAAAAGGAGCAGAGATAGGAGAAGTCTGAACACTTGAGCATGTTTTTGAAATCAGCACAGTTCAGTTACACAAAGAAGGAATTTACATGTTCCTCTACTGATCACTGGAATTTAACTGGCAAGAATCTGGTGTTCTTTATCTTATAAATACCCTATGCAATAAATTATTCCCTGCTAAAAGGTCAAGAACTGTGGCTAAATTCTCTTTGGTATCTGCCTAGGACATAGTCGTAATCTTGGGTCAAAATTATCACTCATTTTTTCTAGAAAAAAAGCAAAAGACATAAGAAATATGGTAAATATTAAAATCACTTAGGAATCTAGGCTGAATTTTGGCATAATCTATGACTTTAAGCAGTCTTCTTAAATATTCTGAAGAGCTTTAGTGTGGTTTTTTTTCATTTTTTTCCATTTAAACCCAAGCATTCTCCACTGTTTATGCTAATAGGGAGACTGATTATAGCATAAGCTTGAAACACACTTGATACTTGTAGATTTAACTCCACATCAACTTTAATTCAAAAGACATGCTAAGCAAATGTGGAAGTGCAGTTCTTGCTCTGTCCAAGCATTCAACAGCTAGAGAATTCAAAACAGCTCTGAAAAACTTGGGTTTGACAACTAACAACATTCTCAGCTTCAGAGAAGTGCCAGACCCCCATGTGTTTTCCTTCCCAAGACAGCACCATAAACAGGATTGGGATTTAGGATGCTGTTTTCTGGAAGCTGTATAATTTTGCAAGATTAAAAGAAAAAAAAAAAAAAGGTTTAGCAAGATGGAAGGGAGAAGGGAAGTACTTAAGAGTTTGAGAAAGAGAAATCCGACACTTCATTTCTAAAATGTTCTAGATGCTGGGGTATTTTATATAGCAAACATTAGCTAGGATATACTGTTTACAATATTAACAGTTATTGTTTATTCAAGTGACATTAAATGGGAAGAAATTAGTATAAAAAACCCAAGGTGATAAAGGCAAACTTGAGAGGATAATCTTATTAAATTATTCTTCTAAAGTGAAGAATCTCAAATACAAAGATACTAGGAGAAAAACAAAGAGGAATTTTCTAGGGCTGAATCCCACATACCTGAGAGCATTCAGAAGTCCTTCCACAGAGTCAGGTGGTTGTTCCTTTAAAACTTTTATGCATCCCTTCATCTGGGAACAGAAGCATGCCACTATTGAACAATAATATATGAATTGCACTAGCTGAAAATTTCACAAGGAAAAATTGCACAAGGAAAAATTTCACCGTATACAGGCAGGTTTCTTACTGAGTGTTAATGCTGCTTTACGTGACACAATAAAAGCATTACAACTTACTAAAAATTATATCAAAGTTAAAAACTTCACTTTGGAGAAAACATCTACTACAATAAGTGTTTGCAGAGAGTAAATTATGTATCAAGAGTCTATATTTTAACTTGCACTCTATTTATTCAATTCCAAGTAAAAAATAAAAAAATCAAAACTATCTGGTATAAGCTGAAAATAAGAGATTTTGGAAGTTCTGTGTCATTGCTGTTAACAATTATAAGAAGAGATGTTTCAACTTCGACTTTTATGTTTACGTTTGCATCCAAGGAAGTAATTTTCAATATTCAGTTTTTAGTTGTAAACCTAACCAGTGACAACTTGTGATTCATTTCATAACTAGTGGCTAAAAATTTAACCTAAGAAGTCCATGGTGTTGATTTTAACACCGCCCTGAACAAATATCTTTGTGGAGACTGTTAAAAAACAGGCTGAAACTTTGTCCATATTTACAAAAGGAGAAATGAAGCACGGAAAGCAGGAGTAGAATTCATTTGACTCATTGTACAGATTCTCTAGCTTGTCAATAGAAACAAGGAATTCTTCTAATCTATTCAGAAGGTATCTTCCCCAGTAGTACTTATTTCTTCCCACTGCTATGAAGACGTTGCATCTAGCTATTCAGCAATTAGCCTAGATTAATTTCATCTTATTCAAAATGACAGATAAAGACACAACTGAGTCAAGATTTGAATCCTTTAATTTTCCAAGGCACATTGGAGTACTAGATCTACATGTTAGAATTTTCTTTGCAACTGAAGAGCACCTCTGCTTTACTAAAGAAGCAGATGATGAAACATTTCATTTAAGTCAGGGTCCATTTATGTGCCAGCAAAAATTAGTCAGAAAATGTAGCTCAGCATCCTTGACAGGGAGCTCCCCAACAAACACTGCTCACTGCTCAGCTGGCTCACTTCTGCCTGCAAAGTGTAACTAGCTTTGCAAATAACAGATCCAATGAGATTCTCAGGTTAGCACCATGTATTTTGACGTGGTTATTTTTCCTTAATTAGAGAAGCTCAAGTCTATGTGCACATCACTCAGTACTGGCTTACATGCCCCACCAGATATGATCAGACCAAGTCAAAGGGGATAAAAATTCAAACAATTATTTTTAATTTCTGTTAGAGTCAGAATACCTAAAACAAGTTGGATAAGCTGGGGTTTATAATTCTTCCTTTTCTTTCTTTCTCTTGGGGAATTTTTCTCCCATATGTGTTGCTAGGAGACAATAACGACCAGCTACTCAAGAGAGACAAAAGAAGTTGCCACAGCTCAGGAGAGGACAGCAGCTGACTTGGGGGTTTCTCTGGGAAGGGCAGAGACACCAGGAGAACTGGGCTGGGAAAAAGGAGTTGGTTGCAGCCCCCAGCTCTCATGTGCTCTCGACATTCAGAGGGGAGAGAGGCTGCAGTCACTGTGGGGAGAATTCGTCACCATTGCAGGGTTCCATCTCCTGCTGCCTTTCTTATTTCTGGGTTTTGTTTTGTTTGTTTTTGCTGCCGTTGTTATTGTTTGTTTGCCTTGTTATACACAGACATACTCGTAAAGAACTGTTACTCCATTTCCCATGTCTTTGCCTTGCACTTGATTTCAAAGTTATAATAATTCAGAGGCAGGGGGTCATACCATATTTTCCAGTCTAAGGGAGGTTCCCTCCTTCCTTGGCAGACACCTGTCTTGCATATGAACACAGATGCCTAAGCTAGGAGACTGTCATTAATAGCTTAAAATACAGCCTCCTGTCTTGAAAGAGTAAGGAAATGGTAATATATTCCACTGTCCCTGAAATTCTCTTGAAATAGCTTGAATGGCTGAAGTGAATAGTTTGGAGAAAAGAATTGTTTACCACAGCAAATCAAACTCATCATCTGAAACAGTAGGAGATTTTTTTGTAATTCAAAAAAATCACTCAGCTAATTACACAAATCAAGATTTGGGACCATGTACTTGTTTTTTAAAACTGAGTTGTACATCTCCTGCCTCCCATTTATACCTACCCAACTCTCCTGTTAGATTACAGGGCTTCAGGATAAATGTGAGAAACAAAGTACACACAATGTACATTTGTGTACAAATTTCATTTGTGCTGCCTCTGTAGGCAAGAGACTGAACCAGCATTCAAGAAATCGGCATTCAAGTCCCAGGCTCTATCTGCTTCATGACCTTGAGCAAATCTATTCACCTCTGTGACAAATCTTTCTCTCTGTAGACAGTCAAAGAGGAGACGTGGCAAAATTCGGATATCCACAGATGCAAAATGCTAAGGAAGCCCCAGTGTCATGGAGGGCAATAATATACGGTTTTTTCCTTCTCTTTTGAAGAAATCCCTCTTGTAAAGGGAAAGACTTGGTATCTTTTTCATTATTAAAAGCTTATTTCTGCTGAAAGAAGTGGTGTATGAGATTTAGGTTTATAAAAACATGTAGGAAAAACAAGAGTATTCTTTTCATGTGTGCTTGCGATTTCTGAAATGGAAAAATAAGATTGATTTCTCTGTGACTGGCCATGCCAAAGATAAAACGGAAGGATCATTATCAACATTACAACAGTAACATTTCAGTTCTGTTACTTCAGATCTCAGACAAAGCAGAGACAACATTGAACATCTACTTATTTACAAGAGAACTATTGCCAAAGATGAGCATTTCAGCGTTGATACATTACATGATTTAAAAAAAAATTATGACCATAGAACATATTCCAGGCTAAGTGTAATATAAAATTATTTTAGCCTAACTATACAGTCAGCAAAAAAGCAGAGGTAACTAAGAAAAATTATTATCTGTGTCTGGAAGAAAATAAAAAAGCTGATCCTTATTTTATTTTCAAAAAAAATGATGTTTTAAAGAGCACAGGTGAAGACAAATTCTAAATTTCCATTCAAAAACAATTAAAATTATTTATACCAAGCCATAGCTTGCACTGAAAAAGAGTTGCAGACTAGTACTCTCAAACCTACAGAGTATTAAAGAAAGGCTTCACTTACATCAATCTTTGATGTCTTTGAGAAAGCTCCCACAGGATGAACGTGATCGTACAGAATAATAACTCCCACCATTACTCGCATGCAGAACATAAGGGTCTCTTCACTGGTGAATCTACTCCTGTACTCTCTGGAAAACAGAACAAAGTAAATAAACATTCTAGACCTTTTACTAAACAATTTTAAAAACTAGACTGGGACTGCGTGAAATCTGAACCAAAAGTATATTTTAAGGCTGCAGATGCACATTAGTAAGGATTTAAATATCTGTGAATTCTGCAAGCCTGTGCCAATTTACAAGAATGGTTAGAGAGCACACAGATGTAAACCTCTCATCATACCCAGGCAGAGTTGAGATCCTCAAAATGTATGTGATGATGGCTTCATAGAGAACTTAATGAAATAAGATGGAGACTGATCTGAAACACTTCAGTTTAATCTCAGAAACACCACATGCTGGGATCTTGAAGGAAAGCTACTGTTTTTGCTTAAATTCCTACTTTGGAATAGTTCAGTGGGATCTAAGTTCAGCAGCTAGGAAGTTCAGGGCTTCACCAAGGTGGATTGAAACAGCAGTATGCTCTCTCTCTCTCTCCCTCTGTGTACTGTAGTAACACCCAGTCTACAGTAACTTCAACTTTTATTCTTCCACAGTATTGTAACATGAACGGACTTAAAGGTTACAGAAATTTTGACATGAAAATGCTTGATTATCCCACAATTAGAATTAAATATCAGGTAACAATCTAGATGACTCACAACTTTTTTCACTGCTTTTCCAAAAAATTAGGTGACTCGTAAGGCTACTTTTTCAATTACTGCTTCTATGATGCCTCAGGATTGTGAGATGAGTCCCACCCCTACAGACACTTCTTCAGAATTTTCATGAACAAACATAAACCTAAGGAATTCTACCCTTTACATGGCTCCATGAACAAATGACTCATAGGCAGAAAGACTATCTTGACTCTATTTTACATGTATTTCCAGTCAAAGAGACATCTAGCCTAAAATACACTCCACTAAATGCATAGCAAAATAACAATGAAGAACCCCCCTGGCTGTTATTATCTACATTAACAGATATAAACACAATTGTACAGCTGAATACACTTGTATGAATAAATTTTTTCGTAGCTGATCAGCTGAAGGTGATTTTTTTCGTATCTAGAATGAGATGGCTGCATCCAAAAAAACATCTCCTTGAATGAGCCAAAGTCTTGCCCTCTGTGTGCTAATAATTGAGCAGCAAAGGCAAGCAGGAGGCAGCAGCCAGCCTTTAGCCCTGGTTAGACAAGACACAGACACTGAAGCCTGCAAGTGTCTAAGATTATTACACTCGTACTTTAACTTTTCATTGAAATGCAGGCTGACCATGTAAGCTCTCCCCAACAGAACACTGACTCATGAAAGATATCATAAGGTGGTTAGAAAAGAAGGCAAGGCTTTCTAACACCAGGTCATGCTTTTTATACAAAAGAAGTAACAACTTAAGGCAAAGATAGAGGAATTCACTTGGAAAAAAAAGTGTTACCCCAGGTGGCTAATTGAAATATAAGTACTGTCATACAAACCCCCCAAGATTTAAGATAAAACTTACGGTGTTTCCAACATGACTTTACATACACTGGCCATAGTACTTAGACAGTCTGTTGTATTTTCAATTGGTAACGTTTTGTTCTGGAAGGGTAAGAAAAAGGCAGTGCTTAGTAAACTATCTTGTAAAATTAAAATCAAGAATGTCTATGTTAGACCTTTCTTCCCCTTTACATACTTCTGATACAAAATGTGTCGTTGCATTACTGAGGGTTTTCAGCATTGGTGTGGCCTCTGCATAGAACAGGGACATCCTATTAGCCATTTCATTGTTCACTTCATTCTCAATGTCTAGCTGATGAAAACAGAAGAAAAAATAGTCAGAAAAGCTCTTTAAAATCTTGCCAGCAGCAAGAAAAAGATGCAGTACATGCTCATGTCAGAAAGCAGATTGTTGCTTGAACAGTCCTCTCTAATCACTTCATCCTGACTGCTGATTAACTCTCAGTATGAGAGAACATGACAGCTACTAAATCAAAACCAAAAACTTTACCAAAAATGGCATAAATGCATCCTGATAAATAATTACCTCACTGCGTGCAGCACATCAGAGTTTATTTACTTACATGCATGTTGTTTATTCTGTTGCGACTTATTGTCCGCCTGTAATAACTGAAGTCATTCTGAATCGCTGGGTTTCTCATCTTCCAGAAAGAGAAACAGGAAATAATCAGTTTTGGTTCAAAATATACAGCAACAATCAACATGTATTGAAAGACTTTATTAACCTTAAGTTCATCAAAACGAAGAGTAAAATGTAAGATTTCTGCAAACTCTTTCGCCAGAGCCTGCTCCCGTTCCAGGTGCTGAGTTGGAGTGTAGGGAGGGCATGTCAAGGATTCCAGTAAACTCTGCAGGGCTTTCTCTGAATAAAAATCAAAAGCACAAATTGTAGTCAGTGCACACAAAGTTTTAACTACATATCTAAAAATACTGCATTTGAAGGAAAGAAACCCTCCAAACATGCTGAGCCCTAAACATGTTTTTTCTCACTAATCTGAAGTGAGAAGCATTAATTAAAGACACCTGCCTCTTCAGGCTCTGCCATTTTCTCTCTATTTTGTATCACAGAATTCTTTTCCATTTTTGTCACCCTTTATCTGGGATCCTTATCAAAAATTCTAGAGGAGGCATTTTTCTTGCTTTCAGATATTCATCAACTTTCATCTTCCTCTATTAGCCATCAGCTCGGTATAGAGATTATTCTGGCATCTCTGTTACTAAAAGTGTACTCTTAGGCACTGATAGCAATATAAATCAGCTTCTGTGCCTGTAATTACTAGCATAACTCAAAAAGTGAAAGACATGGTTAGAGGATGTTGTAGAAGAAACCCCTTGCACTAGGAGCCCTCTCACTTCATACACATAATTGCATTCCAGAGTCCTAATTCAAAGAGCAATCTAATCACATTTTGTGTTTGTTGGGACGTGAAGTCAGTGTACAACACATCCAACTTTGGATTTTCAACCTGTGAGAGAGTTTATTGATACGCTTTCCTCATTATCACTGCCTTAAAAAAATCTCAAAATATTACTAGCTTACATTCCTTTTAAAGCTCCAGGGGATCCAAATTACAAAAAATAACATGGACCAGAGAAGTGCAGAAACGTGGCAGGAAATACAGAAAAACTTTGTAGTTTTATCACGTTTTTTGCCTGTATGCTATTTAGGTAATACAGACAAACTAACAAGCTATGAAATTAAGATTAAAGAGACGGCTTGATAAATGCAATTGCAGTTAAATGTCCATTGATATCAAACAGAAATAATATTAACTCTAAAACTCTTTAGAAGTTTGTGGAAAGACAGAACTTCCTCTTTCATTATATATAAAAAAGCCTATAAAACAGAAATATTAAAACAGGGCTCACCTAATCTGAGTGAAAATTCATAAAAGCGCTTTAGCCTTACAACCAGGGGACAGACTGAATTCCATGCTTTTTCTTGCAGCTGAATATCATTGGGATTTTGTATTGCCTGAAATGAAAATATTACTGTAAAGACCTGTGATAAATAAATAAAAGAAAGAAGTGGTTTGGAATTTTCCTATATTATTTTAAAAAGTATTGCAAAACATAGAAGAATTCAGAGAAGTTACACTGCATAGGATTCAAAAAAATACCATGTTTTCCACTTTCCCTCTGCCCCTGTAACATACTGTTTCAAAATCATTCATTACGGTGAACCACTGACATATAGAACTATGTTCTAGCATATTCTTTTGGGAGCAAAACTATTGTAAAAGCATCAGGTAAAACTTTTTATGTGACTATTGGTTGCAAAAGTAGCCTTTTTTTTTGGGTTTTAATGCTTTTGAAAAGCTCAACATGTTGAGGTTTTTAAGTAAACAACGCCTCACACTAAGAGTATCTACAAATCTGATCACCTGAGGAAAATACTATGTTACAGTTTAGAAGTGTACTTCAGGACCAGTTTCAGAGAATAAGATTCCTCTAAAGTGGATGTGAAGTTATAATACATTATTCCACTTACAGAATAGAACAACTATCTGTATCATGTCGTTATTGGACACGAAATGAGTACACAGAAGCTTGGTGAGCTCAAGAGAGAACAAGAGCTAATTTTATTTCTGACTTCACAATATATAGAATTCTAAAAGTGACAGTGGATTGCAGGATGAAATTCCTACCTCTCCAACCCCACTGGCCAAACCAACAGTCTATCAATTCTCTCCTCCCACAAAGAAGAATGCAAAATAATCATTATTTACATGAACAGTGCGTGAGAACTCCAGTAGAAATATGTAAACATCATCAGAAAGCTAAAGAAGTTTTATTAGAACTTGTGAAAGAACTATAAAAGAAAACTTAACAGTTTTAAAAATCAGGGCAACAGTATCATGTATTTCTGACACTTGAGTATTACTTCTGCTGTGTCCTCAAATTTGACTTCTGCCATGAGATACATGAAACAAGGTACATGAAATGGTGTTTCTTAAAGTGAAAAATAGTAACTAATCACGACCAGAAAACCTGAAAGAAGCTCCAACAGCCATCCATCATTTAATGATTTCAAGCTTGAACTTTATACTGAATGTTATTAATAATCTGTTATGTATTTTATAAATACATTTTAAGGAGATTTTCACTTGAGTTCATAGAATGTGCTTGGATAGAGACCAGAAGCAAGGAATACATCGAGTTTTGCTGATTTTGCTTCCAAAGAACTGTCATTAACAAACATACATCTCTAATTTCTTGTCCAGCTCCTTTGTAAGCCTGAAGGTCTGCAAGCATGCTTTCTGAGTCCTGTAAAACTGCACTGATCTGGTTCCAGACCTCCCTTTCTCCATCCGTGGGCTGTGCATCTAAGAAAGAGAAAAGCAAAATGAACAAAGTCAAAAGGAAGCTGAAGTACAAGTGGCAAGATTACTCAGTTCTACTTAACAATACCATATCCAGCTTGAGTATGTGTAACCATTCTAAACTAGTTTTTTTCCAAATATACAATTATACTGCCATTCTGCTAAGATCCAATCTTCTGCTTTTTAATAGCAAGAAAGGAAAAACAGTAGTTTTTGTATGCTCTGGCTCATAATGCCTCTTCTCATAATGCAACATTTTAAAGAGCAGCAGTATCATAAAGCAATGTTATTAGAAAATAGGATAATGCACCAGTTCCTCTCTTTCACGAGCTCCATGGCTAAATTACAAAGAATTGCTCACTTTTCTTGCAGCTTGGGGATAAAATCAGGCCATTCAATGGATGGAGCAGTGGGATATTGCTCCACTTTGACTTTCCTCCAGGCTTCCTTAACCAGGGCAATTTATTTCTCCTTTTGTAAAACAGACACAGTACTATTAAAATAAGTTTTTTCTTATGTATGTCAGGGATCATTCCTGCCACTAAAATAAATCCAGCTCTGCCATTTATCAGTTTTCAGGATATGAGTGACCTGTAGACCTTTACTGTTGAGAGAAATGACATTTGAAAGTAGATCAATTTTCCTATTCAAATCTCCTCCTATGGGATTTACGCAGCAGTGTGACACCAGGGAGTGATGTTATCCCCAGAACACTGACACATTTGACAAGGTAGAGATCTTCTGTCTTCTTTTGCTTTAAAACATAAAGATGACAGGCATTGACCAAAGATTGGATGACCTACATATGGGATTGCAGTCTATATATGAAGGAACAATGACATCTCTACAGAGACACAACTATTTCTTCCCTTAGATTTGTATTAGCTCGTAAAGATAGAATGTTAATTTTTATGAAAGAAAAAATTACTTTGACATTGAATCTTAGAACTTAAAGATTATTTCCTTGAATTTAAAGCAGTAAGGTAACTTCAGTTCAAAACTCATCAATTAGGATGAGCTACTGTACTCATCCCTACATTAATAGACAAGAAATATTAAAAACACTTATTCTATTTAGTCGTCTCAATCTCGTTAAGAAAAGTGATAGAGTTTTCTACCCATGTATCAGTATGGGATTAATTTACACAGTCCCCCGTTAGGAACAAATTGGTTCACACTGGAGTATATGGAAAACAGGCATTTGCTCCATGATGTTTCAGGTTAGGATAATTTGTTTAAATGTATGAAGTTGCTTATGGACCTTGCACAAACAGGACACAAAAGTAAATGAGATTTACATGTCTGTAGCTTCAAAGCAACTCATACTTAAAACTCTTCCCATATTCCTATGGCACCATGAGTTCCATTGAGACTGGGTACATAATACTGATTGGACTTTCCTTTTTTTCTGGAAGTTTTCCTTTCTCTTATTTAAAAAATTAAAATAAATATAAACTGGGCTTACTTAGCTGGATTTTATAACCAAAATATTTCATGTAACTTAAAAATTTCACTATCCTTCAAAAAGTGAGGGAAAGGAGCACCAAAGGGAAAAACTCCCCACAGGAAAATCCCATCTGGGACATGGCTGTGGAACTGACCCATCAGACACTTTAAATTTACAGTGTTCCAGACTGGTTTTTTCCTCAAGCTGCAAGAAATCCCAGGGTTTGCCATCTTGTGATAAACAAGCAAAACAGAAAACTCTTCTGGCATTAACGAGGAAAGCAGTGACCCTGAGAAATAGTTACATACCACAGAACAACAGAGCAGGGGAAGGTGGGAGTCACATAAAAATCATTATCTATATTTTATTAGTCAAGATAATAAAAACAACATTTCTGTGAATACTAACACAAAAGAGAATAAATAACTTGTTAGTGCAGTTCATTAATGTAAAATTTGCATGTGCAGGTCACCTGAAGCATCTTGTTTAACCTTGTTGGTTAACAAGGTACTTCTATGTTGATTTTTACAATTTATTTGTTTTAAAAGTACTAGTGCTAAATGCTATACACTGCCCAGCACTTTCGGACTTCAAAAAGGCCTTTAGTAACACCCTTTATTGTAAGTCTTTTTCAGAAGTTCCCAATTTATCTTTTGGAAGTTGGTGGAAGGAGGAATATTTGAAACTCATTGAGCTTTCTGTAGTATCCCAGCACCTGGAGACAAGAGTAGGAGCAAAAGGCAGGTAGGTGTGTGGAAGAGGGAAAAAAAGGGAAGGGAGAGGAAGAGGGCTACAAAGGCTTCAGAGCAACAGGCTTAGGTTGCACTTGCAGAAGTGTTTTGTATTTACGTTGGAAGCATTTAGCTCAAAAAGAAAAATAGGGAGAATGATTCAGGCTTCTTTTCTTTAAAAAAAACCATGCATTTATTTATGAAATAGAAGTTATGCAAACAGATGTTCTGATAAGACATGGCCATTTTTCAAAAGGGATTTTACAAGAAGATCCTGCCAAAAATGGTCAGCTAAAATGACTGAAATGGATCACTTTGAAAACAATTTCACCTTACTGTCAACAACAATAATAATAGCAGCAACAACTGAAAGGAATCGAGACTTCTTCATGACAGATTTTGACTTTTAGAGCTGGCCTGCTATTTCAACGAAACCAAAGCTTGTTTCTCTGCTCTGAATTAAATGCAAGTCCCGAACCATGGTGTGGAATCAGTGGCTGGCTGTGCTCATGTCTTATCCCCACACCACCAGAGAACCAGCACGTGCTTCAGGAACCTGAGCCCATTTATAAATGAAACCACTTCCACTGGCCAGCCCATGGTGAATGCAAGCCCGCTCAGTAACAAGTTACCATAATGGCCAGACTCACTGCATTTCAAAGCTGAGTTTTTAGAATGCTCATGATTAGCAATCAGAGTATTCTGTCTTTAATAAGACAAAATAGAGAATCCTTTCACTTCCCTTTGGACAAATGATTCTAATGTGAACCCTAAACCAAACAACTACATGAATCCTGTTTCAAATTAATGCAAGAGTCAGATGAGGCTTGGATCTCCCATATACAAATTCTACCAGCAAAATGTGAAAATTTTAGCTCTGGAAAGAAATACACTTCCTCTGGCTCCATCTGAAATAACCAGACCATGGTACTTCATCCATTTCATGAACACATGCTCTCTTTCACATTTACACATGGCCTATGCCACATTTGGGATACAACTTCAGACTTCACAAAGAACAAGAGGAAACCTGGACCCACTACAGCTCATTTGTGGATGCATTAAGAATTTCAGGTGAATGGTGGGGCGTGAAAGTGGGGTCGTCATTATTTTCTTAGCAAAATACTTGTCATTTGCTTCAGAAAATTCTCCTAGCAGTGCGAGGTATCTACCTCATCCTTCACCAAATGTGCATTAGAAACAAATATAGAAACTTCTAGGTAGGTAAAACATTAGTATTCATAGGATAAGATTAAATACAGAAAGGATATGGTGCCTTTACCAATACCAAATGAAGTGCAAAAACACCTCAGTAATTAATTTTAATGAATAAAGAACAGTACTATGAAGAGTACTAAGAACAGGACTACAAGAAGAACTTCCAACTCACACACCCTTTCTGAATCTGAAATGGAGACCAAAAGCTGAGAACTTTATTCAGCGCTTAGGTGGTTAAGCATTAGGTGGTTAACTGAGGCTGGTTAGCTCTTCCATTTTAGTGCATGTAGAAACATAAAAATACCATGCCCTTGTGACCTTCACAGCATAGCAAAAGAAAGTGAGTTAAACAAGAGCTTTCATGGGTTCTACTTTCAGCTTTTCTTGTAATGCCCACTGCTGAACATGGCAAATAACCTCAGCCAGCAAGTTAGAAAGCAGTACACATATTTAACTGCATAATGCTAAAGTCCTATTTCAGATTTGTCACCATGACAATGATTTTTTTTTCCATGCCAATCTGGGACAAAATTAAAACAAAAGCTCAGAAATGAGCAAAGGCATTATAATTACAGTGAGTAATGCACTTTAAAGGGTACCAGAACCTGCTACACTCCATACAATAATGAATCCCCAGTACTGGATAGAAAGAGTACCCTATCCAGGCTACACAGGATTTTTAAACTTCATTCTTTCTAAGCTACTAGAATAAAGTGAAGTTCACAAAATTGTTAATACTGGCTCCAGGCAGGATGCTGTGCCAGGGAGATCAATGCCCAGCTTCAGCTCTGTGGTGGACAGGGAATACACACACAGCTCCTCTCTGACCGAGCTGCAGTTTCTGGCTCAGGGCACACCACAGCTAAGGAACGGAGTGCAACTCCCACAGGATGGGTGAAAATTATACCCCCAGCCTTGCTGCCTGTGCAGCAAGGGTATTAATTAATGACCTATTATGTGAAAAGTGGGCAGTTTCTCTGTTGCCAGACATGTTCTAATAATAGACCCTTTTAATTGTGCATGAATAATAACTGAAAATTTCATGAATCTGTCTGGGGATGTGGGGGAATCCTAGAAAATAAGATTCTTGGAGGGGATGAGAGAGATTTAACTAGGATCAAGTGAAATCCACCTAGCTAACATTAAAAAAAATGAACCTACTCTGCTCACATTAAGGTTAGAAACAGATAAAAAGATTTTGAGGAGAGGATGGGTGGGTGCCACTTAAGGACATCTCTGAATAATCTATAAGCTTTAGTCTTTTAGCTTCAAGTTAAATTGTTGCCTCTTTCAAATTATTTCCAAGAATTCATGTGGAATTATTTGCTTACTTTGCCTGAAAAAGGCAGCAGTGGTTTGACAATAGATTTTCTGCAAAAAAGAGCAATTTTAAGATGGTACAGATAGAGCTCAATTACCCAGAATTAATTGATCTGCAACTAATTGAAATAAGGTCAACATTCAACAACTGAACAGTTCTTGAACTGACAAAACTGACAAATCAATTTCAAGAGAATTTCATGTGAAATCCTGAAATCTAAAGACTCTCAAGACTTGCCACTCTCAAGACTTGCTTTTCCTAACATTATTTTCAAGCAGAGCGCTAAGAAGGAATTAAGGCAAAGTAAATGATATATAATCAAACCAAAAGGTAGCAGCTTGATTAAAAATACTCCAATCAAGATTCAAGTGTAAAACAGCAAAATGGTGTATTTTCTAATAAGGATGATTTTTTTTTCTATTTAAACCTTTCAGCAGACAGCAGACCTTAAAAAAGAGTAATTTGGCTGAATGCATTAAGTCTGCAACACCTCTTTAAAGAAAAGACCCTTCCACCTGCATGGAGAATGTTATTCTCCACACAGACCCAGCATAACTGCCCAACTCTAAAATATTTACTGGGGAGCAAACAGAACTACTTTTGCTATACAGCATTAATTGAAATTAATGCTGGATTTGAGTTTTTTCAAGTATGACCATGGAGTTACAAAACTGAGTTTCCAGTTTGAATTGAAGAATAATGTTAGGTGTCAAAAAGAATTACAACTGAGAATGTGGACACCTGCATGAAAGTAGGGGAAAAGAGATGATGTCAAACACTTTTTTTTCTTTTTCTTTTTTTGTAGCCAGATAATGAAAAAGCCCACAGAAAATAAAAAGCAAGATGCTGATGCAAACAATGAATACAGCAAACACATCAGCTCAGCGCACCTGTCAGTCTCTGAATGCCCAAAAGCAGTGACCATGTTCGCCCATGAGCTCGAACTGACAGCTCAGGCCACAGAAAGCCACATGTCCAGCCCACACCAGACTCTGACCCATGTCCACTCACTCAGAGTGTCCCTTTCCACTGTATGATGGCCAGCTACAGGAGACCGAAGCACAAAACCATAGCCCTTTAAAATTTTTAGCCACATCCTTTGAGCCAATACAGATTTTGTGCCACTAAAAACCTCTGGGACTGTATTTCATGAGAAAAAACTTAAATTTTCACTTACAAGCACAAAATTCTCTAAGATTGAAGAAGACAGTTTTGTTCCTCTCCAGGTAGGTGTGCCTGACTAGTGTGCCCTAACCACTGGCACCTCCTATGGGAGAGGGTACTTAATTCAGTTCTTGGCCACGTGCTTTTGCACAGAAAAACAACCTTCACTGCCAAGGCAACAAATTCGGTATTTCCCCCTCTCACCAAGGCTCCCCACTGCCAGAGCACCTGTTTCCTGCCAAGCCTGCAGCCTGGGTCAGGAACACTTTCTTGCCAACAAGGACACAATGGGGCTGATTAAACCTGTAAGCTCAGAGCAGCTGAAAGCTTTCACAATAACCTGGCAAAGCCACAGAGCACTGCCAAGGCCCTCAAAAGTTTGGTAGAAAAAAATTAAGTGGTGGTTTGGATAGAGGTTTGAAATCCTGGGATGACAACACAGTTTTCAAATCACATAGACAGAGAAGAAAGGATAGATATATGGCTCCTCCTAAACCCAAACTAACCAAATAACCTTTCTTTCATATTTTAAAACTGGTTTTTCATTATTAGGTAATTAAGCTCTAGATGAGAAAATTAAGGTATGTGCACAGTTCCAGTCATCCATTCTAGCTCTCATCTAAAAATGCATGTTTGAACAATTTAATCAGATTTAAATTACTTTTTAAAGCAGTGCTTCTGAATGTACACAGACATACACACTCGTAACATGTCAGTTACTTCTTTCAGAAAATAATTAATAAATAAATTATTAAAGAATAAAATTATTTCAAGATGACAAAATATGCGTCTAATAATCTGAAATGCTCTTTTAAACCATGCTACAAAAGGAAAGTATTTTAAAACCACTAGATTTTCTCAAAACTTTTTGGTTAGCTTTTGGTCTTTTTTTTTTTAGAACAGAGGTATTAAGAGAGAAAACATCACACACTGTTAGTGTTTCAAATAAAACATTTCACATATGTAGTGAAGACATTAAAACAATATTAAAGGATTTGGTGATAGTGTCTAGAAGTAGATGCAGGGAAACTGTATTCAGCAAAAGTGAAAACTGCTTTGGATCAAACATACATGTGACAAGAAAACTGAAAATAGGAAACACTGTTCTGCAACTGATAACCATGCAATTTAGAGAGATGCAATCAAGCACTACTTTGACCATTTCACTACTTTTTAGACTATAAACCCAGCTAAATCATCACCGGACCAAGCAAAAATACTTTCACCTCCACTACTTTTTTTTCAGCTTTTTATTTTCAACATGATTCAAGGAAGAATCATAATTTTTTTTTTAACCCTGATTTGTTAAAGAAAGCTGAGGTTGAGTTAATTCATATGTAAGTTTAACAATGGCTCAGAAATGTTTTGAATTTAATTCAAGATAGGGTTTTATTTGCATATCTACTTCTCTGCCCTTTTCTCTGCTCAGAATGAAGTAATTTTGTATGGTTTTATAAATATCAGAAAGTAATATTCTACTGAAGTGTAATTTGATTTGTTTGCAAATCCCTTTTGAATTGCTTTATGATGCATAAGCACATGCAGTTTATTAGGAAATAATAAGCAAAGAAGGCAAGCCAGGCAAGAAGCTTTGCTCACTTTCAAAGTCAAGGAAAAAATTTGGCCCCTGATCAAGCTCTGTGCAAGTGAGAACTTTTAAAAGATTTCCCATTTGGTTCCTGAAAAATAGAAAAGGAAGAGAAAAGGAGTCCTGAGTGAACAAATTATTTTAGAGACAAGGACTTGGACAGATTGGTTGTGCTGGAAAATACACACTTTAAGCAATCAGATTTTAAAAGTTTTCCTCAGTTTGCTGCTAAGTCAAGGAAAAGATTTTCTCATTGCCTTGTAATTGTTTGAACTTACTTTCAAAATCCAGGAAAAAATGTGGATAGTTTTCAATTTCCCTGGTAAGGACCTTAAGAAGATTACCCATCCCAGCAAACCTAGTAAATGCAACAAAATCATAAACAGTTATACACATACATTCAGAATACTACAGCTAAGAGCTTGACACAGTCTGCATCATATAGTCAACATTTTGGTAAGTTCTGGACCATGAGAAATATTTGATGGTCAATTCTGTGACATTTATGCAGAAAGGAAGACTTCCGATAAACACAGAAATAATTCTGTTCAAAAAATTGGAATTTAAACATCAGGACAACATCTCAGTGTATAAACAGATATTTATGAATTTATTCACTTAGCAAGAGAAATAAACTCAGAACTGTATCTCTATTTGTTAATTCTCTAAATTGTTGGACTCCAGATTACCTAATACCATTTCCAATTAAAAACTGACATCTTAACACTTGTCTTAGATCTTCAGAAAAAATCCATGTCATTTTAAGACAATAACTCACTACAAAGGAAAAAATATAGTTGTTTCTAGTCAGTAAGATTTATAATAAGATTCTATAAAATTCTATTAGAAAGAACAGCTAAAAAGCTTTTTAACTTTTAAAAGTGTATATATGCATTAAAAAAAAAAAAAAAAGAGAAAGGATAAAAAGGGGAGGTTGGAATCCTATTTTTTATCAGTTATTCCAATCTTTTATCATCTTGGAATTTTCTGCATTTCAAGTTATGAACAAGTCCCAAAAGCAAAAGTGACCAGTTCTCAAAAAAGCAAGTCTCTACAGAAGATAAAAAGGAAAGAGATTTGAAAAAAGGTTTTTTGCCAGTGTAGTCTTTAGGAAGGTAAATTATTCTAATACTGTGTAGAAGTAGAGCTTTCTTGGTCAAACTTAAAACTTCTTCTCAGAAGACAGAAAAGTCAAACCATGAAAAGCACGTATCAGGATAAAGAGATCTGCCTGGAGGGATGTAGAAAAATGTAATTTTAGATTTAAAACACAGATTGAAAACTGATTTTGCCTCAAAGAGAAATATTCTCATTACTCTAAACCACGGCTCTTGGGGATCACATCTGATGTTCATCTGTGATTCAGTTTAACTCTTTTCCCACTTAAGAAATCAGACCACAAAAATTATTCTAAGCATGTACATGGCCGATACTCCACATGAAGAGACAAAGCTTTTTTCAAGTTTTCCCACATGCATTACAGTAGGAAAAGTATCATCAACCCTAATTTCTATGTGCATATAAAGGATGTATTTCAACATCAGGAAAACCTAGGAAAGTAATGTGAGGCTTGTAGATTTCAAAGTAGCCACAGCCACACCGTAAAATTATATAAATTTAATCAATAGTCTGTTCAGAACATGCAATTTCATGTAAGCCAGGCTTTTGTTAAATAAATGGCTTTGTTTTGCATTAAATACTTCTTCAAAGTTTCCTCTCCAGAACAAATCCAGTGAGCAGACTGTCAAGCCCTTCGTAATTAGCAACATCTTGCATATACAAAATTGAAACACAAAGAAACATTTTCCATTATTCATAAAGTTACATGCAGAAAAATATTTAAACTTTAACTTTCAGAACAAGATCAGCACCTTATAAACTGAGTTTGACTTTCTGATTAGCCTAGAAAGTGGAAAAACATGCAAACAGAGCAAAATAGATTTTATACAGTGTCAAAACTTATATGTTCAATTATTAATATTTTCAGCACACTGGTATAATACATTTTATCAGCATCAGCTAGGAGAAACACGATAAAGTACACACACATATTTTTCTTTTCGTAATCTTGAAAAAAAATTACATTATGTAATACTATCACAATCGACATGACTGACTCAGCTTGGATTCTTCACTTTCAACTCTTTTTAAGCCATATCTTACCTCATCGCCTTCAATCTTCAGAGAGTACTCAAGCATTTCTTCTGCTGCCAAAGCTTGCACTGCATCCAGAACTGGTTTAGCTGATAGCATGCTTCGAACAGCGAGGAGCACTTTGTGCCAAAAACCTGAGGATACGCTCCCTCATTTGCATTGAGTCGCTTCAGGTCATGTGCCCAAGCTCTGCCTCTGATCCTTCTTAAACAAGTACAGCACATCTCGGCTTGGGAGATTCCTCAGTATTTTTCCTGAACTTGTGTTACATTTCCTAGCTTGGTTTTCACTTTATTCCCTCTCCTTCAATCCCTGTGTAGAAACTGATCCAGCTATTCAGGTCACAAGTATGGAACCAAAGCCTACCACAAGCTTATATAAACACATGTTCATGCAGGTGGCATTTTCCACTGATCCTGAAGGCTCTGGTTTGACATCACCTATTTTCAAAGCACATCAACCCCAAAAATAGTCATATTCAACATCAACATCCAGAAAATATGGTTCAGGCCGCTGCTAACATGTTTTAGTTATTTTTAATATAATTTCTCTATGGTTTCCTAAAATACAAAACTAAAAGCAACATCTGGTTCCATGAAACTTCCACTTGCAAGTGTAATTCATCATTCAACACTAAATTCTAGTTTCAAATTAAAAGGCCAAACTTAAAGGAAGTGTTAATAAATGCAAATCTTTGCCTCAAACGGAATTATTTTATTCTGCATAGCCTTTCAAACTGTCTTTCCTCAAAAACTCTAATAACATATTCCAAACCTCAGGAACTGAAAGTCACCTACAGGATAATTTTAATGAGATTTCAAAGTAACTAATGGCACACATTCTGAGTAGGTCTATATATATATATACTGTGATTGCAAGAGAAATGCAAATAACAGCTGATGTACAGAAGCAAGTCATAAAGGTTTAACCTAGGAGCATAAAAGTCTATTTCATTAAACCGGAAAGCATTTTATTTTACTTACTGTAAAATCAGTTTAAATGTTGAACTGAGACTCAAGGCATATATAAAAATATTGCTGATGCTGCACCACTAAATGCTAGCAGTTCCTCTTTAGTGTCTAAATCCCTTAAAATTCCAACTTGCAACTCTACTCTAAAAATTATGACAAGTTGACAACAATGTCTGCATTTTTTCTTATTGTTTTCCAAACCATTAAAGCTTACCCTAAGATATTACATACTCTTATAGAAAATAGTTTTTAAGCTATGGTTGACATTTTAAAGCTCATTGCTTAATTTTTTATGCCCAACATTTAATTAGCACACAGACAAATAAACCATAACCCAGCAATGAACAGGAAGGTTCATTCAAAATTTAGCATTTTGAATATTATTTACCATTATCCAGTAGCAGATGTTAAAACTTGAGCTTTGAACAAAATATCACAGGCTGGTTTTCCAACAAATAACTGTGTTCCTAAAATGTCACTGATTTAGTTTCAACATTCTAGAGGTATTACCTTCTATGGGAAAATAAAGTCCTTCTACCCCATTAAAGTAATCAGTTTCTTTCTGAATTGTGATATATAAAATACTATCTCCTCCCAAAAAAATCAGAATTCAACACTACAAATCTGCCATGGATTTTACATATATATACTGAAAGTATACTGAAATACATTTATTATGTACTGAAATCCAGTTTTGAAAATACAGTAAGTGTTCCCAAACTGGGTATTACTAATTGAACACTGAATATCATGTTATTCAACACTTTTTTAAAATTTTGGTTTACACACTGTTTTAAGCAACTACACAATTCTGTGGAGTTTTGCACCACTTTCAAGTAACAGCTACAGTACCATACAAATTGCTAGAGAAGTACTGATTGATTTCTTCTCTCACAGGACTAATTTAATCAGTACCAATTCAACACCATGAGCAGCACTACAGTACACTGAAATTGTAACAGAGAGACAAAGCTTTACAACTTTGTGTTAGTGAAAAAGGACACATTCACCAGCTCAAGCCTTTGCAGCTCATCAGTGCTCCTTTGCCAGATAATATTTAAATCTTGCTCACATAAACACGGTCTGAAAGGCTTTTGTCAAAATGAGCTGGATCAGCAAATACCTACTGCTTAACCTCATTTAGATCATCCTAACGAAAGCAGGGCTTGTGCATGCTTTCATGAGCAGCTCCACCGGGAGTTTCAGGAGAAAGGCTCCCAAACTCAGGAGTGGCAATGGATGATTCAGAACGATAACGATAACTTCTAGTGGCACACCTAAGTGGGCAGAGACAGGAGGCATCCAGTCCACAGTCTGAGGGAAATGTACTAAGCACATCAGCATCATTAAAGCACTGGAACTGACCTTACTGCATGAATAATTAATCGTGCTTTCAAAAATATACCAGCATCTGAACAAACTCAAGATCTCTCAGATCACTAGCATGATTCCAAATCACTGTCATATTCACTCATACAGTTAGCTGAAGTGCTTGTAAGGAAACAGTAGAAGTGCAAGATTCAAAAAATTATCTTGGGGAAACTGGCTGCTCATGGCCTGGACAGGTACACAGGGTAAAAAACTGTGGTGGTGAAGGGAGTTAGATCCAAATGGTAGCTGGACACTAGTGGGGTTCCCCAGGGCTCAGTACTGGGGCCAGTCCCAGTTAACATATTTACCAGGGATTGTAGTCGTGAGGCCACACCTCAAAGTGCTATGTCCAGCTCTGAGCCCCTCACTACAAGAAAGGCATTGAGGTGCTACAGCATGTCCAGAGAAGAGCCATGGAGTTGGGGAAGGGTCTGGGGCATAAGTCTGATGAGGAGCAGCTGAGGGAGCTGGGGGTGTTTAGCCTGGAGAAAAGGAGACCTTAACACTCTGAACAACCACCTGAAAGGAGGCTGTAGCCAGGTTGGGTTTGGTCTCTTCTCCAAGGCAACTGGCATTAGGATGAGAGGATGCGGCC